TTTTTGTTTTTTGGGTGATAATGGAATGGTAAGCCAGCCTGCGTGCCCGCGCTATCGGTATACACTGGCGAGGCACCAGTAAGGGATGATAGATGAGAATGAAAGCAGGTCTGTTGGCCCATAATAACATATTATATTTTGTATTTTGATATGTTTAGTAATTAATGCTCCTTTCCACTCAGGGTTTGCTGGAAGAGAACTCTTACAGAGTCAAGCTCGCCTGTTGTACATCTTTATTTTATATATATATTATATGTTGTAATTTTTTTGTGTACAATAAAGAATAAATAAAAAAAAAATTGGAAGCAATATATTAAATAGATAGTAAATTTTAGAGATACATTTATATGCAACGTATTCCCTGATTAACCCTTTTACTTCGTAAGTACTTTTAAATAATAATCAATTAATTTTTTTTTTAAATTCTTCATTTATTTTTGTAAATTACAAATGCTACAAATTCTGTTAAAAAAAGTGGCTAATTTAAATAGTAATTATGTTAGTACACGTGGAAACGAAAGTAGAAGTATGAGACCTAGGCTGGGTTCGGGTACTAGATCTCATTAAAGAGGTTTGTAGGTCATAAAAGGGTACGGACTAACCATAACTGCAGATTTAGCGTTTTTTGTTGGATGAAAATGGAATGGTAACCTCGCCTGCGCTAATGGGATACGCTGGCGGAGCACCAGTGAAGGGTGATCGATGAGAATGAATACAGGCCAGTTAGCCCATTACGATGAATTCATCAGGAATTAACCATGATAGTTTCCAGGGGGGACCGCGAGGAGGTCGACCTGGTGGGGTATATTGCTAGCAATGGGATTCTTAGTCTCCATTACTAACAATCCCTTTCCCTTCGCAGATTTAGCGTTGATGGTATACGCTCACGATGCACCAGGCTTGAGGAAGCCACGCCACGCGAATGTCACAATGGCGCCGATCTATTTTAGTCTATTCGTATAACCATAAAGTACGTAATCACTACTATCGCGATACTGTGACGTCCATGGTACTGTTCATGTCTGTAGACGACGGTTAGCACTTTTCATCAAGTTGATTACCTCATTAGTCAGTTTACCATTCTAAGTTTCACAAATAAAATACGTCACTTTTACAATACGTATCGAATTTGGAAACAACCGTGATGATTGCAAAAGAATTATCAAAATCGGTTCATAATTGACGACGTAACGACATAAAATAAAAAAAAAATAGATAAATCGAGATTCATCTCTATCCTTTATTTGTCGATTTTTAATGCCGTATCGTTCCCGTATCCGTGCTTGGTATCAATCATGCGTATTGTAAACACAGCTCTACGTAACAAGCGAATTGTTTATTGATACACTGTAGGGGGAACGAAACAGCTCATTACCGTGAAAACCCCATGGTTGGTGCTGCTTTATTAATGTACCGGCTTCCCTATGACACGGTGCGGGCTAAATAAAGAATGTGTGACGTACGATAGAGAAAATTGTGAGGTTTCCCTTTCCTTTTAAACGACTTCTGAAAGGACATTTGTCTTTTTAATTTAAATATTTTTTAGTGACAGGATTAAGTTTGTAATTTTTCAATCGATTTAAATAATTCTTTTTGCAATCGATTAGGAATTTTTTTTAAATTTTTTTTTATAATCATCCGTTTTGGCCTGTTATTCCCATATTCATTTTGTGACATGTGAAGCTGCCGTTTTTCTTTGCGGAGCCAATATCTTTGTTACTAAGCAGTTTCTATGTACGTGTAAAGATTCACATTCATTTTCAATAGTCTACGAAATTGTTATTTTTGCAGTCCTAAATCTGCTAATCTTTTTTTTTATACAACTAAGAATGGCAAACAAGCTGACGGCCCACCTGATGCAAAGTGGTAACCGTCGCCTATAGACATGAGCAGTACCGTGGACATAACACAGTATACCGTTTCGCCCATGATACCCCCCATGCGTTGCCATTCCTGAGGACTCAGGTGTTATTCCGTGTGATCCCTTCATAGAATAGGCCACCCCATCCTTTCTCGTGGGTTGTAAGAAGCAACTATGGAAACTTAACGGCGGACGGATAGGCAGCAGCGCCCTTCATAAAATGTCATCAAAGCCTAATTGCAGTTGCCAGCCCGCTGCCAAGCGTGGCAACTCTTGGTAAAACTATCCAATAAGGTGGGGCCTATGTTCAGCAGTAGATAGATAATGGCTGACGATGATGATATGAACTCCACCTGTCTAGAGAACTTTTAAATAATCCTATGTAATATTACAAATGTTTGTTATTTTTTCACATAAAAATTGTGGAACGGATTTGAATGAAATTTGATACATGGGTAGATTGACATATATCCCAACTTAGTACATAGGACTTTATGTATTAAAACACGCGAATGAAGCCGCAGTATACGGCTAGTCGATCATGAATATTGAACATTGTATAATTATTTTAAAAAATACTGATAAATAATACCGATGTTCCCACACTTCGGTGAGCTCTTAAAATAATAAAGTAATGAATTCTGAACATTTCGTTCTGACGCCTTCTGTCGAACGTGGACGTAATTTTCTTCAAAAAATACCGACAGTTTTTCAGTTTGTTTTTAAAACTATTCTTGGACTTTGAATCTTTTATGTGTTCTGGCAATCTATTGTACCTACAATTGTGCTTTCTTTAACTAAACTTGTATCTTATATTCAGTTCTCACAATTGTTAATGCAATATTAATTTTATTTCTTTTGTAAATTAAAGATATAGAAATCTTGTAGCAATCATTTGCATGGATTACCTTTTGGCACACTCTTGTTTCTGACGCCAAATAGTTTTCCCTTTTTTTTTCCATACCACTGAGGTGACAAACAAGCATACGGCCCACCTGATAATAAGCGGTTACCGTAACCTATAAACGCCTGAAATACCAAAGGTATTACGCGCGCGGTGTCGACCCTGAAAAAATCTCTTTACCTCTATTTTTAAGAATGCTGTAGTCTCTTGGGAAAACCTCGACGGGGAGCACATTCCAGTTGTGCTTGTAAGGCTGGTATGGCTGTTTCAGTTTGAGTAATGGGATCACCATCATCCTCATTACATCAGCCTTTAACCGTCCACTGCTGAACATAAGACTCCCCCATAATTTGCCAGGAGTTACCACGCTTGGCAAGCGGATTGGCAATCGCAGTCAGGCTTTAGAGGTATTTTAAGAAGGACGCCGATAGATCGAAAACCTCGACTAGTTTCGAGATCAATTCGTGATCCTTAGTCATGAGCGACTGTACGCAAGCTCGACTGCGCGCCTTGTTACACAATACAAACCGGTAGTTATTACATTAAAATTAATGCGTGGCTAAGAAACTTAACAATAAAATAGATTTAGTGAGTTAATTTTTTAATTGTAACAATTGAAGTCGTATTTTTTCTGTGAAACAAAATCTTAACTAAATAAATTTAAACATACCCACATTTAAATTTAAACGCGTCGAGTCCCTATAATAAATTTAAATATTACCACTTTTTATTTAGTATGATTAAGCCTGCTTTTCATTTCAAATTGTATAAAAAAATATATTTATTCCCGTTTCACGTTTTCCGACATGGCGAATACGATTAAAGTAGATCTATCTACACACGGGATGAAGACGCACGCAATAAACAAGGTATTTTCCTCTGTGAATGATCTCTAAAAATTGCACGCCATTCTCTCGTTACTGCGGCACATTCGCGACCTGATTTTACAGCGACTGTACCATATATTTTTGATTGGAATTGAACGGGAAAAAAACCTATTTACATGTTCTATGACATATATAAAATATATATAACTGTAGATCATTTGTGATACACATATAAGCAGGGCCGGTGATGACTTATGGAATCAAAATTTTTTTTTCATACAACTTGGAATGGCAAACAAGCTTGTTTGCCACCGTTTGGTAACCGTCACCTATAGACATGAGCAGTACCATGGACATAACAGAGTATACTGTTTCGCCCATGATACCCCCCATGCATTGCCATTCCTGAGGACTCAGGTGTTATTCCTCTGTACCCAGAAAATTCACGCCATATCCCACCCTTCAAACTGAAACACAGCCATGTAAACACAACTGCTTCACGGTTGAAACACGAATGGGACAGAGGTACCCAAGCAATCGACTTTTGTACAAAGTGTTTTGTACAAATATGGTCCTACATGGTTTCGTGTAAGTAAAAGCTTCAAATTACTCAGCGAGCTATGGAGAGGGCTATGCTCGGAGTTTATTTGCGTTACAGAATCCGAAATGAGGATGTCCACAACAGAATCAAAGTGACCAACGTAGCTCAAAGAATAAGCAAGCTGAAGTGGCATGACCTGGTCACGTAACTCGAAGAACCGACAAGCGATGGGAAAGAAAAGTCCTTGAGTGGCGATCTCGTACGGGCAAATGCATTGTAGAACAACTAGGTGCAGTGACGATCTCAAATACATTACAAGGAGTCAATTTATGCAGATAGCTCAGGACAGTTCCTTATGGCAATCTATTGGGGAAGCCTATGTCCAATAGACAAATAATGACTGAAATAATAAAAACTAATAGATACTGTGCCAAATAATGTGACTTTTAAATGAAAAATAAAGATTCGTGAATGTATTGCTATCCGTATGTATTGTATATTTTTATTATATATGTATGTTTATTTAGGTTATGTAATCTTATTTTTATATTTAGAATTTTTTGCATTTTGTCTGATTCCTTTTATGCATTTACTGTGTCTGATTTGCGCCATCTACCTTTCTCTCTGTACTTATCCATTCTTTATGCCAGGTTGTCTGTAAGAGATTGCTTGTAGCGATAAGGCCGCCTTTTGTATATGCACGTTCTGTATAAATACTCCTTGTATACATCTTTACTGTGCGCAATAAAGAGTTTATTATTATTATTTACATTGAATTGCTTATTTCTCAGCTTTTAGCGCTGGTAATTATACTACACTTACGGGTACGTGACCAAGTAAGTGCAGTGTGTATGTTTGAATGGAAGGTTATGTTTGTGTATGTCGGGTGGCTACTTCATCCTCATCTATATCTAAGAATTTTCTAACTATTCTGCAAGTATTTAATATAACAGCCTTTTGTAGGGAGATGTAGAGATTTTTTCGTAGACCTATTTGTTTTAGACTATGGTGTAAATGGTTGGGAATGACACCTGTAGATGAAAGGACTATCGGTACTATGTAAACTTTTTCCTGTTTCCAGATTCTTGTGATTTCATCTTTAAGTTCAGCGTATTTGTTAATCTTCTCAGCTATTGTTTTTTGGAGATTGTGTGTATTGGGAATTGCGATATCAATAAGGTAAGTTATTTTATTTATTTTGTCTTGTAGGGTAATATCCGGTCTATTATAATGGATGGTCCTGTCGGTAAGTATGGCTCGATCATAATATACTTTACATGTTAAATTTTCCAGCACGGTTTGTGGGGTATATTTATAATATGGAGTGTTTGTGTCTTCAATAAGCTTGTGTTTCTGTGCTAGGGTTTGGTGAATGATGTTGACTATCTGATTATGTCGGTGTGTGTAATCAGTTTGTGTAAGACTTACACATGCCCCTGTTATATGTTGAATTGTTTCAGGCTGAATATGGCATTTGCGACACTTATCACTAGATATGGTTGGATCTTTAATAATAAATTTTCTGTAATTTTTGGTGTTTATGATTTGATCTTGTATTGCAATTAAGAACCCTTCTGTTTCTGGGAATAAATTGCCTATTTTCAGCCATTGATTCGATGCCGTTTTGTCTATATGTGTTTGTTCTAGATCATGAGGGTGCCTTCCATGTAGTGTTTTTTTCTTCCAATTTTCTATTTTTTGATTTTGCAGTTCACTAATTGTAGAAATTTCTGTATTTGTTTGATTATTTAGGTTTAGGGGAGTGTAATTTTGGTCATTTTGGACGATTGCTTTGTGTAAAGTACTAGTGTTAGATTTTGAACGAAAGAAGGTTCTTAGTCCTGTTATTTGTTTTTGCCACATGTGATTTATATCTATTAGACCTCTGCCTCCGTTCTGTCGTTTAATAGTAAGTCTTTCTATAGCAGATTTAGGATGCAAGTTGTTATGTTTCGTAAGTATGGTGCGAGTAGTTCTTTCTATTAGTTCTATATCAGTTTTTGACCACCTTATAATGCCAAAAGAGTATATTAAGATCGGAATAGCATAGGTGTTAAAGGCTTTTATAAGATTTTTGCTAGAAAGTTGGGATTTGCATATTGAGTTTATACGTTTTCTATACTCTGTTATTAACTGCTGTTTTATCGAAGTGTGATCAAGACCTTTTAACTGGTTATACCCTAAATATTATTATTATTATTATTATTATTTCTCTAAAAAAAGAACAGCAAACAGTAGTGTTTCAGTTCTTTGCGATATCAGATAATCTTATCTTATATTCGCATATGGGGTCAGCTAAGCTGTTGCACGTCGACCCATTGGGTTCTTTTGTGCTTCCCCCTGCCTTATACCATCATTTCATAGATCCTTCGTGTTACCTTAACGATATCCCCCGGTTTAAGATATCTGTAGTCCCCTGGTTCTGGATAAGCCGTTCCCAGTAGACTCATACGCATACTTGCCAACGAATCGCAGTTGCACATCAAATGTTCCATGGATTCCGATGATATTAGATAAAGATATTCTTGTATTTTATTGTATTATACCAAATATTATGAGGATGGACTTGTTTGTTAATATTTTTATTCATTAAACTTTCAATTCTCATCAAAACAAAATCATCATATAAGCGGTAACTGCCCACTGCTGATACTGATATACTGCCATAAGGAGATTTTACCAGTAGTTGTTAAGCTTCCTTTTCACCGGGGATAAATGTTGCACCTCTATAGCCTGTAATTTCTTAATCATATACCCTTCAAACCATGCAAATACAAAACTTGGCGAGATAAACACAATTAGAACTGTGGTATGTAACTATGCTACCCGGAAAATTCGGGAATGACCCAAAATTTTGCGTTTTGTCCTATGCCCAGTAATTAGACTTTATTGTCCCGGATTCCAACCACCTACTAGGATTTTTTTTTATAAATGCATGTCGTTTACTAAAGTTTGTATAAAATAACTAACTGCGAGGTTCTAAATTTGGTTTATATGTTTTAATAATATGGAAATACATGGGTAACACATAGTGAGATAAATGGGTAATTTTTGTCTGAAATAAGATAAGAGTAAATATTTCGAAACAACTTACTTTCCCTTTAAACAACACAATAAGTAAAAACGTAAAAGGCTTAGTTGAATACCTATTTATTTTTATGTACTTTTTTTTTATACAACTTAGAATGGCAAACAAGCTGACGGCCCACCTAATGGAAAGTGGTAACCGTCGCCTATAGACATGAGCAAGTATCATAGACATAACAAAGTATACTGTTTCGCCAATGATACTCCCTATGCGTTGCCATTCCTGAGGACTCAGGTGTCATTCCTCTGTACCCAGTAAATTCACGCCATATCCCACCCTTCAAACCGAAACGCAGCCATGCAAACACAACTGCTTCACGGTTGAAACACGAATGGGACAGAGGTACGCAAGCAATCGACTTTTGTACAAAGTCTCCCTCTGGTATACTTATTACTACCACCCTACCTCTTTATCCTAAAATTATCGAGTCTTATTCTGATAATTACAGTTATTTTCAAAATAGCAATAATAACTATTATTTTATTATTATGCCAGCCGTTAACTGTCTATTGCTGAACAGAGGCCTCCCCCTTAGGAGGGTTTTGCCAGTAGTTGCCACGCTTAACAGACGAGTTGGCAACTACAGTTAGGTTTTAGTAATATTTTAGGAAGGACGCTGCTACCTTGACCATTAAGTTCCCTTAGTCGCCTCTTACTACACCCACGGGAATGGAAAAATTACTAAATTTATTGAAAATCCATACTAATATTGTTTACTAAATATGGCAAGTATATGAAAAAGGAACAGTGTAGAACTAAATACATAATATTATACGAAAGGCTCAAGGGGAACCGTAGAACCGTGTGACACCTAATGTTATTAGCGTGTGACGGTAATAAATAGATCTGGATAGTTTCGGCTCCCGAAATAGTTCCAAGAACTATATCTTTCTCTGGAAAGATATGGTTATTTTTGTTTATTCCACGTGGCAAACAAGCATATAGTCTGTCTGAGGGTAAAAGGTTACTGCAGCCTATGGATGCCTACAACACTAGGGATGTCATGTGCGCGTTTTTTTTTAATGGGTGATAATGGCATAGTATCCCCACCCGCGCTATCGGTATACACCGGCGGGGCACCAGTGAAAGATGATAGGTGAGGATGAAGTAGGTCAGTTAGACCATCGTGACGAATTAAACAAAAATTGTTCACGATGGTTTCCAGGGGGAACCACGTGTAGGTCGACCTAATAGGGCATATTGCTAGCAGTGGGGCTGTCAAACTCCATTGCCAACAATCCCTTTCCCCTCTCACGTCCGCATTACCCACTATGAAGAAATCTTAATGTACCCTTTTTGAAGAACCCCATACTGTACGGGAGAGAACTTCTTTGAAACCGCACCGAACGTGACCATTTAGGATCAAGCGTGTGAGAATCAATTTTCTGTCGATAAATAATTCTCATGGAATATCCCTCGACCATTAACTTCCTTTAGTCGCCTCTTACAACACCCACAGGAATGGAAGGAGTGGTCTATTCTATGCCGGGACAAAACGGCAAAAACTATCAAGTATAATTTGGATTAATAAAAGAGAAACTTAAAAAAAAGTGTTTATATAAGCTGTTATAGTGGACCCGCAGGTTAGATGCAATCTTCTATTCGATCTATGATCCATATAGATAGATTTCATAATCACATACCATCAGATCGCTATGGAGAAAATATGTGGTATGTATATCTGACCGCAAAATCGAGCAGGCTTAGACTTAAGGTCTGAAACTGATCGATCATGTCTGAACACTTGCTTGTTTGAAATATTCCTTATAATATTATTGTTCTCTATTATATATTACTGTCCTTCTATTATAATATAATTGGTTAGCTTAATAGGACAATGCTTGACTGTGGTCCAAAGAACCGTAAACATGTTCGATGAACTGAACTGATTCGGTAAATATGGAACTATAACTTGCTGTATTCAGCTAGATTTACAGGTCCAATGGAATATATAGTTCCACTAGTTCTGAGACATAGTTCTTTAAGCGATAGAACCGTTCCATGTTCAATACATTTCCGGACATCATTTGGGCAGCTCTAGTAATAAATGTAGCCGCTGTGACGTCGCACAGTGGGAACTCGCCTAAGAAAGCCATCTCATAAATACTTTTTCTAAAACTCTGTGGATATGCATGTATAATACCTCAAATTGTAGCTAAAGAGTTACTCTATCATTATAAGTATGATTCAAATCTATCACTATTCATACTTCATAGAACAGAGCATCTAAAGTCAAGGAATGAAAAAAATACAAAAATAATTATGAAACTTAAATTTCGTTTGGTATAATTTTATAGTATCAAAACAATAGAAGTCATATAGTGTGATACCATTTTAAAATGCTTAGAATGTGTACTTTACTATAAAATAAAAATATATTTAGTTTAGTACAATATTACTTAACCAAAGATTCATATATCGTTATATGTATTATTTTCTTTTCTCAAACTTTCAATTGGAGATTTGACAGTTGCCGAAGCTTGCCGAAGTTCTGATTTTGGTTTAATTTATTAGGAAATATAATGTAATTTGATGGCAAAAGATTTTTTTTTGCAGTTTTACTGCGTAATATATTTAAATCTAGTATAATATCATGGTGAGAATGTTTTTTTCTAAGTACGTATATTAAGATTTTTTTCTTTATTTGAGATTCTCTGTCTGGACACTCAAAAAAATACTTTTGTCTCAATTATTACTTTATATTTTATCTTTTACGTTACTTTTAACAAGTATTTCACACAGTATTTAGTTCCCATTTCCATACAGACCTATTCTTTACCGCATAACCACATAATGATGAATTTTTTAAATCAAGTAATTTTGCACACGTCTATGATCATTATTAAGTATAAAATAGTGCATTTACATATAAAATATTACAGTTCTTTATAAGCATTTGTCATTTCTAAACAATTGTTAATTACTTATCTCTCCGCAATGAGTGAAGTCTCGTGTACCGGACGCGACTTAAGTCTCTTATTGTTGAAAGTGATACAAATTATAGTGATTATATCTCAAACTATGTACGAAATAATATTACCGAATCTTCAGATGCGAATATAGCAAAAATTATCGCAAGTATTTAGAAGTCCTTCATAACTCAGTTTTGTCAACGCTATACGAAATGTGGTCGAAAGAAAGAACAGTTTTTAAATCAAAATAGCAATTGGTTTAATGTCATTTTCACTGTAAATCTAGAAAAAACTACATGCGAACCTGAACCTTCTACTTTGACAGAGAAAAGAGGAAGACCTTCTAAAAGATACGATGACAGTTCAGAGAGTACAAAGAAACGGAAAAACAAGGGACTGCTTGATACCTGTGGACTTGATTTCATACTGAACTCATATGTACAGGGTTTAAGGTCACGTGGTGAAGTAGATGAAGCATTCATCGTTGATATTTTACGAGCATGGCCGTCAGAAAAAAAGAGTAAAATACGCAGTAATCTTCTTAATGAACCGGCACATATAACAGCATATTCAAAAGATGAAGATCTTAGCATTTTTGTAGAATTGGATCTGAACAAGGCACAGTAAGAAAATATTATGAGTTGTTTGATAGCAAAGAATTGCTTATTGTTTCCATCATACAAGTTGATTCGTGAAGTTACAGAATCTTGCTATCCGCCAAAATCACAAGGTGTTGATTCATTGTGAAAGTGTGATACGTTACTTTTTCTGTCTTGCCTCTTGGGTAATTTTCAGAAGATGCTCAAGAGTCACGGAACAAAGACTATAAACAGTTCAGGCTTCATCATGCAAGACAATGTTCGAGGGTAGCCACTAACGAAGATGTTCTACACGCACTTTTATATACCTCTGACCCATACATAACAAGTTTAAGAAAACCTTCCAATAAAAAATAATTAGAACTTTTTGATGAAGTAAAGGAGCTCTTGAGTGACTTCTAAGTTATCTTTATAAGAGTTTTTGTTTTTTACGCAGATACTTTTACTTATTCCTATATAAACTTCTTAGGACATAAAAGTAAGTCTACAAATTTTATATTTCTTGTATTCCTATATTATTTATAACTATTAGAAATAAATTTTTACTGACAAAGCATACATTATTTAAAAGAATATATATTTAAGATTATCAGGAAAAAAAAATCATGTACATATCTTTATTAATACGGAAGATATAGATTTATGAGATGAAAATGAGTCAAAGTTCCCACTGTGCGTCGGACGATTGGCAGAAAAGAAATTGGCGGTGATCACGCGATAAAGTCCGGTGTAATCAAACAGCAACCGTTTGCTTTTCTGTCCAGTTGTAGATATACTAGATTTAGAAGAGATAGGGTTTTCGATTCAACTGTATTTTTTGTGATCACTTTATGTGACAATATTACATTTTAACCGACCGTGTTGTTTGTTTTACTTACTCATTTACCTAATGATAGGTGATATTGGAATTATACCCCGCCTGCGCTACCGGTATACGCTGGCGGGACACCAAAGAGAGATGATAGGTGGCGATGAAAACAGGTCACCCATAAAAAAATTTGGATTTTGGCCCTTCACTAAAAAGCAACCACGGTGTTTTACAGTAATTGTTAAGATTGTCCTTCCATCGATAACTTATACCTCTGTAATAATTGTGGGGGTATCTATATAAAAATAGCTACTATTTCTGGTACACACGCACCGAATAAATGGTCAGTAACGCAAGAGCCGTGGGCGAGTGCGGACGTGCATCATTGCTTTGTACGATGTGAATGGGTGTAGATACTACAGCCCCTATTTTAACAATATTTATTCTCAGGAATTGTGAGCTGTGAGAGATACCATTAATATTTCAGAGTATTCTGTAATATTCACACTATTGTTCGTATCTACACGCGACGTTTACCACTTTCCACCACTTTGCCACACCACCGCGTTGTGTAACCAGAGAAAATAAATTTTTCACAAAAAATATCTTTCTTTCTAATAAATTATGTACTTATATATCATTTTAAAAGTACTTTTAAATTAAAAAGACACAATCGTTAAATTCTAATAAAATATACACACAAAAGAAAATTTAATACAATGGAATTGACAAATTTATTCTTTTTTTAAGCAAGTTAATTACTTAGAAAATTCTTTTGTTCTTCAAATGAACACTTCCCGGAAAGGAGAAGCGATCTGTTGAACGCTTACACGAGAAATAGGTGGATCGAAGTAATTTAAATGGATTTGTAGCCTTTGAACGCTTTAAATTTATTAGTAAAGCTCCGTAGGGGACGCGAGAGAGGAACATTATCTAAGCAAGCAAGAACAGCTTCTTTTTTTAAATTGAAAATTATCGAAAATACAATATTTCTTGTTAAACATCCAGAAGAGGTTGCATTTTAAAGTCTATTGAATTTACATATAAGGTTTCAGTGCTTGTTAGAAAACGATTTTTTGGTTTTTTTTTAGAGAATTCCAAGAAGCAGGTTTTGTTTTTTGAGTCTTTGTTACGCCATTGCGTGGCTAATTTTGTACCGATTTCTAAGAATCTTTTTGCAATCGATTGGGTTTGTGCGACTTTGTTTATTTGTTACCTCTTAGCGTTTTAATGGCTTAACCAATAACTATAAAATTTAGTATATACGTACTATTTAAGGGATAGAGAAGGCCATAGACTACTTTTTACCATAGTTAATGATCATTTCCCGATTAAGCTGAAATAATTTCAGGTAAAATCTGTTTAGTATAACATGATGGAGCTTCTACTAACACCTAGTTTTTAGTTAATAAAGATGGTTTAGTCTCGTTTTTATATATATATATATATATATATATATATATATATATATATATATATATATATATATATATATATATATATATATATTGTTAGAATATATATTGGGCGTGTCTATGAGGAGATTATATATATATATATATATATATATATATATATATATATATATATATATTATTAATTGGCGGATAATCTAGTACAGGAAAGGTAGAGGTCCAAATAATGTAAATAAAACAAACATATACAAATTCTAAATAAAATTGTATTGTAGGTAGTGAAGAAATAATTATAACCGCGCCCGCCTAAAATGACATATCACGAATGTTAACAAACAATAATAGTAACAGGCACATAGACTTAAACCGCATCTAACTATTAAAACACAAGTCTTTTTGAAACTTGTTGAAATGTTGCATTGATTGAATAAGACCTACATTAAATTTATTTAAATTAAAGTGGCGCATGAATTCTTCCCTTCCTTCGTGTAACTGCTTATCATGCACTACCCAAAGTGTCCTTTTGGTACTAGTAGTGATTTTTATGTATTGTGTATTTATATATTTGTGTATGTATATTTTTATGTAAAATGTAGTTAATAATTACAATAAAAAAATGCATCAATTACCTATGTAAAATAACCTATGTAAATTCAGTGGTTATTTTTTTTTTTATATACCACTTAGAATGGCAAACAAGCTGACGGCCCACCTGATGGAAAGTGGTAACTGTCGCCTATAGACATGAGCAGTACCATGGACATAACAGAGTATACTGTTTCGTCCATGATACCCCCCTTGCGTTGCTATCAAAATAACGGGATAAAACAGTTTAATAACTAAAATAGATTTAACAGTAGTTTGACGTTTTTAATTTTTTTTTTATACAAATTAGAATGGCAAACAAGCTGACGGCCCACCTGATGTAAAGTGGTAACCGTCACCTATAGACATGAGCAGTACCATGGACATAACAGAGTATTTGCATGCCATTCGATGTCGCAAAACATAATGAACATCTTGTAAACTTGACAAATGTAACATCTGTAATTTGTAATCTGTATAATTTATTATTAATACGTAAATATATTGACATTTATATAGTATGACGATTTAAGTAAAATAGTATTAGCATAGTATAGTATTTAGTTTAGTATTAGCAATTAAATAAATTTTGTACGCAAGATTCTGGTGAAAAATGTGAACAATATTTAAATATTATATAACATATTTTATACCATTTTTCAAACAAAATAAAACTATTTGTATTTGTATCTTATCTACAATGTTTCTGGCAAATAAATTTCATTTCATTTCATCGGAAAGTTTTATTATAATATTATTTTATTTTACTACTACATT